GGAGCCCGATGCGGGACTCGATCCAGGGACTCCAGGATCATGACCTGAGCCGAAGGCAGTCGCTTAACCAACTGAGCCACCCAGGCGCCCGGGAAGAATAATTCTTTGTTGTGGGGGGGCTGTCCTGTCTATTATAGGACATGTAGCTGCATTCCTGGCCTCTACACACCAGACATCAACGCACGCCCCAGTCATGACAATCAAAAACGTCTCCAGATATTTTGTTGTCTAGGAGCAGAAGAGCCCTCAATTGAGAAGTAGACTAAAACATTGAACATCTTATCTAACATTAATACATACTAAGTGGTGTACCTTAGGGTTATGGGCTGGATTGGAAAACGAGAGGAGAGGGCAAAACAATCTAGACCACCCTGGATTGCCACGGGTCGACTTCCTGAAAGCTAACGTGTTTGGGAAAGGGCCATGGGAAAACTCAAGTAGAGAGAGCTGAGATTTTCAAAAGGACCAGAACAATGGCCACCCAAACTTAGCGGAGTTAAGAGTAAAGGCAGAAAGTACCTAGTGATAAATGTAATGCCATTCTTCCGCTTATTTAACTTCCTTGTGAATCCATGATGTTCAAAGACAGTGAAGAACTGGTCCCTGCTCTCTGCACTCTAGATGCCTATCACCTCTGCCCTGGGGATAAAGGCACCTGTTCAGATATTGCCCGAAAATAAAGATGGGAACTGCCTACCTGAGAGTCCCGTTCTCTCCTTTGTCCAGGCTGGTGAACCGGCTGTAGAGGCGGGTGATCTGACTGTGGGAAACTAAAGAACACAAAATTAGTCCCACCTGGCGAAGTCACCCTCCACTCAAACGGCCCTTCAGAAGTCAACTGCCTTTCTGGTCCCCAGCCCACCATACACTTCAAAGAGAGTAAAATGGGGAGATGTCTCAACTCTAACTCATTTCTAGAGTGTCAAAACAGAAATTTTAAAAGCTAAAGAAAGAAAGGAGTTAGAAAATAAATAAACAGAGCAATCAAAATTGACTCTCAGGAATGAAGTCTAGGCTTCATTAGGACTATGTATTAAATGTCAAGTGGTTAAGATTTACCAAAACAAAGCCAAATTTAGTTTAAAAGGAAATTGTAAAACTAACCTTTTTTACTTTTCTCACCTTTTCACCTTAGAGGCTATTAAATGTATGCTTTGATTAAAAACACATACCTATTAATTAGTTTGATGTTTCAGGTTGGCAATGCCAGGCTGGTTAACTTGTACAGATTAGGGCAGATTCTATTTTTATCTTATCTTTTTAAAGATTTTATTTTTAAGTAATCTCTATACTCATCGTGGGGCTTGAACTCACAACCCTGAGATCAAGAGTCACAAGCTCCACCAACTGAGCCAGTCAAGTGCCCTGGGACAGATTCTATTTTTAAAATCTGGCTTGCTCCTGCACCAAGCTTTCGTGGCTTTCTTTTCCCTCAGGACTGACATTTAGGTAAAAGATCACAGGGTCAGGTCAGCCTCTTTTCTGTGATTGCATGAGCTCCACTGAGCTCCCAGTAAAGGAATGGGCTCCCAGAAAGCAAATTAGGCAATCTGTAAAAAGATCAGGTTGTCACGAGATGATATCTACAAGGAAGCTATTTTCCTCCTAATTTTTTAACTCAAGCACAAGCTGGCAATTAAAATGAGGTAATAACAGCAGGTACACAGTAAGAATTTGAAAATGCATAAAGGAATTTCTGGGAAATAGTTTAGTTTCCCGGCTGCTGGGAAGTAGGAAGGGAGAAAAAGGAGAGTTATCAAAGGGTAAAAGACAAGAGCCAAAAAGGGTGTGGTAAGTGTGGACTTTGTCCTAGGCTGTACCTTCAGGGGTTTAAAGGGGTGGCTGAAGGCTTTCTGATAGTAGCCCTCCTCCCCCAGCTCAACCAAATCTACTTGCAGTTTTACAAACAATGGGACAAAGTAAACCGGGGCACAGCAGGAGAAGCAGGAAGTGAATGGCCTGGAGCTAGGATGAGAGGACACACTAGGGGCAGCAGTGAATTCTTCAGCATCAGATTTCACCCCAAGCTGGGCTGTTGGGTACTAGCTCTCCAAAGAGAGCAGACAAGAAGAATCAATCTGAGCCAGCCCAGAGCCAGCCCAGAGCCAGCCTAGAGCCGGCAGGTGCCAGGCACTGAGGAGGCAGCTGTGGACCCACTCAGTGACAGCCAGTGCTCTCTGGTGGGGGTCAGGTAACAGGCTGATCCCATTCATGGCACCACCGCCTACCTAGTGAGGGATGAACACAAAGGGCTGCGGAGAGAACTACAGGAGTCCAGGAGAAGAAAGCACTTGACAGAGCGTCTGGTACCGGGGAAGCACTCCAGGTTAGCCACTAGTGTCATCATCCTCACACTGTGAGCCGGAAGGTGCAGCTTCACTGCTGCACTTATAATTAATCTCTCCCTTTCTCCTGACTCTGGCAGCGACAGCCGTTTTCTTCAGGAACCTGACCTGTTTACCCTGGCTCTGGCCTCTGGCCTCAAAGGATGCTCTAGAACTAAAGTTCCCTTTAGTTTAACAAAAATAAGTCAGTTAAAGAATGACTAACTTTCCCAAAAGATTTTTTGAAAGAACAAAACTTGTTCACAGTCTCAACACCACTGTTTTCATTTCTTTATATACCATCTAATATCAGCCACTTGTACACTTTCCATAGTTGGAACAGCTTCTCATTTATTCACTCATAATTATTCTGTGTTGCTTTGGAGTCCTTTTTAACAATTGCAGGATATTTAGTCCACTGGTTCAGTTTTTAGTACTTAGACTATTATATATTCAGATTACTTTCCTTTTTTTTTTTTTAAAGATTTTATTTATTTATTTGCGGCAGAGAGAATGAGAGAGACAGAGAGCACATGAGAGGGGGGAGGGTCAGAGGGAGAAGCAGGCTCCCCGCCGAGCAGGGAGCCCGATGCGGGACTCGATCCTGGGACTCCAGGATCATGACCTGAGCCGAAGGCAGTCGCTTAACCAACTGAGCCACCCAGGCGCCCAGATTACTTTCCTTTTAACAAGGAAAACATTGAATTGTATTTCTTTTTATACCAGGTTTTTTTTTTTTTTAAGATTTTATTTTTAAGTAATCTTTACACCCAACATGGGACTCAAATTCACAACCCTGCAAGAGTTGCATGCTCTATGGAGTGAGCCAGCCAGGCGCCCCTTTTTCTGAGAAAATAATCCATGCACATTGTAAAAATGCAGATAGTACAAAAGTGTACACAATAAAAAGTCTCCCTAACAACCAAGTTCCCTAGTCTCCCTTGCCAGAAGCAAACACTATTACCAGCTTTTTGTGAATCCTTCTAGAAATCCCATATATGTATATATAAGTATGTATAGCTATTGATACAATTTTAAAACTGGCAGGGATGTTGTCATCTAGTCCAACCCCTTCAACCAACAAATGAGCCATAAGACCTCTTTCTAATCTAGATCATCTCAAAGAACCTCTTAAAGTATGATTCTAAAAATTCCCTAAGTACTGGTATGGTATTACATCCCATATTTCAGAAAAAAGACCAGCTTATGGCTGGTTTCCTTAAAAATATGGAATGCCTGGGGCACCTGGATGGCTCCATTGTTAAGGGTCTCTTGGTTTCAGCTCAGGTAATAACCTCCCAGGTTGTGGGATAGAGCCCAGCATCAGACTCCAAGCTGGGGGTGGGGCATCTGCTTGAAGTTTCTCTCCCTCTGCACCACACACGTGCTCTCTCTCTCTCAAATAAATAAATAGATAAATAAATAAATAAATCTTGTAAAAAACATATGGAATGCTTCACAAATTTTCGTGAACCATAAACCTGCTATCTTCCAGGAGGAAGGAGGCTATATGGAAATCAGTAGACAAATGTACAAATAAATGTCAACTTTTAATACAACTCAATATGGTCAAATCTCAATCTATGTCCTAAACTTCAGAATTAATGTTTATTTTTTTAAAGATTTTATTTATTTGTCAGAGAGAGAGAGCACGCACGCGCCCACAAGCAGGAGGAGCGGCAGGCAGAGGGAGAAGCAGGCTCTGCGCCAAACAGGGAGCCCGATGCGGGAACTTGACCCCAGGACCCTGGGATCATGACCCGAGCCGAAGGCAGACGCTTAACTGACTGAGCCACCCAGGCGTCCCCAGAACTAATGTTTATTAAGAAGAAAGAAAAGGAGGGGTGCCTGGGTGGCTCAGTCAGTTAAGCGTCTGCCTTCGGCTCGGGTCACAATCCCAGGATCCTGGGATTGAGTCCCGCATCGGGCTCCCTGCTAGGCGGGGAGCCTGCTTCTCCCTCTGCCTCTCTCTCTCTCTCTGACTTTCATGAATAAATAAATAAAACATTTAAAAAAAAAAGAAAAAAGAAAAAAAAGAAGACAGAAAAGGAGAAAGAGGAGGAGGAAAGCAAGCTTTAATCTAGGTGCTAAATCCACCATGACAGAGAATATAAAGCAATCTCCAAGGTGTAGAGCTCAGAGCAACTTCAAGGAGCAGAAAGATATTGGAACTGCCACAAATGAAGGCAAGAAAAGTTTCCAGTAAACTCTTCTCACCAAAAGGTACTAGGCTAACAGGACAGGTGCCCCAAGCCTGCACCAATTCTCCGTAACCCAAAGGAAGTCTCTGGAGTTGACCTCACAGAAAAGGCTGTGGACATGGTCATGTCTTGAATGAAGCTATATTTCTCTCCACTAATGGGCAAATAATTATTTTATACTGTTGAAAGATTACTTGAAAGACCCTGCCAATCTGACCACAAAACTCTCTGTATCACTGCCTCATGCTCAGAGGACAAAGGCATTTCAGAGAAGTACCAAGCACTAGGCAGGAATGACCGAGGGAAGAATAAAATGAAAAGGGAGTAAGAAAAAAGTTATTTTTCCCTTGCCTTTATCCTACATCTTAATACAGAAGAACAGACTGATAACCTAGGTAAAGCATACTACTACAACCAAAGGTAACTCCAGATAAAAGATTGAGAAGTTGAAGTCTTGAATCCCAACCATTCCACACTCCAACACTTCCTGTTTCCCCTGGCATAGGCCTTCAAGAGCTGGCCTATTCTCTAAGGGAAGCTATAGATTAAAAGAGACTTAAAAGACATTAAAACAACAAGAACAAACCACCTTCTTATAATTTGGGAAATTTGAATATGGACTAAATGGTAGATAATATTTTTAAATTATTGTCAATTTTCTTAGGTGTAATATAGTACTGAGGTTATGTAGGAAGAAAAATCCCTATTCTCAGGAGATACATGCAGATATATTTAGGTGAAGAGTTCTGTTATTTGCCATTTAAATGGTTCACCAAAAAATATATATACACATATAAATAAAGCAAATACACAGCTAAAGCTATATATATTTATCTATATGTAGATAAAGCAAAATGTTAACTGCTGAATTGTGGTGGAAGGTATATGGATGTTCATACACTACTTTAACTTTTCTATATATTTCAAATTTTTCGTAGTAATTTGGGGGAAAAAGTACATAGCTTTACAAATCACTTAACCCCAAACCAGCTAAAGGTGTTAGTTATAAGTACATTTCCATTTCAAGAGGAGCCAGAAGATAGCACCTTCAGGCAACATGGCTTGGCAGCTGAGGGCCATGAAGGGTTCTTGCATTTTGAGATAGCAGGAGCCTGAAGCTGAACTTCCGGGTACATTCTAGTCCAGGAAATTATTCTCAAGCAATTGCCTTTGCCAGGCTTGTGCTCTTTGTCGAAACTAGAAAAAGCCACACTAGTTCTATCATCACTATACCTTCTCAAACAAACAAAACCTCACCAGCCTGTAAAACTTACTTCCTAAACCTGTTCAACACCATCCCTGTACCACATGACACACACCAGAACTAGAGACTAAAATTAAATGAATGTAAAAAAATAATAATAATAATTAAATTGAATGAATGGGCATTCATTACTACTCCATTGGTTTGAATTGTTTCTCACAGATTAAGCGGCTGTTTTTAAAAAATGGTTTTAAGTAATTCACAGCCAGTTTATTGCTACAGTTAAGTGAACTAAGAGTGGAGATTACAGAAACTCCCAAGACCGTTGTGATTTTCCCCCAGTGATAACTTATTCAGCTGGGCTTTAATATATGAAAATGCTGATGTGTGAAAGAAAGTAACAGAACAAAGACAATATAGCAAATGTTTTATGCAACACAAAATGTTTTAAGGGGCGCCTGGATGGCTCAGGTGGTTAAGCATCATCAGACTCTTGATTTTGACTCAGGTCAAGTGATCTCAGGGTTGTGAGATCAAGCCCTGCATTGGGCTCCGAGCTGGGCACGGAGCCTTCTTAAGATTCTCTACCTCCCTTTCCGTCTGCCCCTCCCCCTCCCCCACGCTGCTAGTCTCTCTCTCAAAAAAAAAGAAAAATATTTTTTTAAGACAATGCTTTTTAAACTGTTAAAAACATTAAGATGTCTACTCCTTTAAAAGCTTTATTTCTATAGAGTTGGGAAAACGACTGGATTTCTAGTCCGATGCTCCCTGAAAATAGGAAAAGTATAAAATGCTGTCACCTCTCCACTTATATAGCCCTAGACAGTTTTATAACTAGCACATACAAATATTTTCCCAGTAAGATGAGTCTTATCTATGGCTCAAAATAATAGCTGACACTTACCTGATACTTATATATCAGGCACTATTCTAAGTAGTTTAAATGATTTATCTCATTTAATCCTCATAAGAATCCTATGAAGTAGGTACTATTTTTTTTTTTTAAGATTTTATTTATTTGACAGAGAGAGATAGCGAGAGCAGGAACACAAGCAGGGGGAGTGGGAGAGGGAGAAGCAGGCTTCCTGCCGAGCAGGGAGCCCGATACGGGACTCGATCCCGGGACCCCGGGATCATGACCTGAGCGGAAGGCAGACGCTTAACGACTGAGCCACCCAGGCGCCCTGAAGTAGGTACTATTATTATTCCCATTTACAGATGACAAAACTGAGGCTTACAGGTAATTCTTACCTAGAATTAGTCTGCCAAATACCTGAGAGATTACATTTCAAATACTGGCTAAACCAGTCATGCAAGAATTCTAATCAATTTAGACTTACGGAAAATATGTTTAAATATAATCACAATTCCAATGCAAAGCTTTCATATTGACTATGAAGTCAGTTTTCCTCAATTATGCCACATTTTCTTACTGGCAAAGGGAGTAATGAGATGTCATATTACTTGTTCTTAACTTGAAGTGTTTCTGATTGATAGTTCCCTAAACTCTTAATGGAACAAGAAGCAGATGAAAATTGGACAAATTCCACTTCTCCACCTCCCCCTCAGGTATCTGTTTTTAGTCTTCTAAACCTTTTGCATCATGATAAAATTACTGCTTTAAAAATCAACTCTGCTGGGGTGCCTGGGTGGCTCAGTCATTAAGCGTCTGCCTTCGGCTCAGGTCATGATCCCAGGGCCCTGGGATCGAGCCCCACATAGGGCTCCCTGCTCAGCGGGAAGCCTGCTTCTCCCTCTCCCACTCCCCCTGCTTGTGTTCCCTCTCTCGCTGTCTGTCTGTCAAATAAATAAATAAAAATCTTAAAAAAAAAAAATCAACTCTGCTGATGGACACTAACCAGATAAAGGGATGGCTCAACAACCAGGGCAGAGGAATGACTGTGTAGCAGCCTGGGGGAGAATGCTCCTGGAAGCCACCCAAAATGCCCTAGGTTAACTTATCTAAATCTAATTCATCCATGCCTGTATCAGAGCCCAATTCCTATCCTCTCCAAGACCAGCCCACAGACTCAGTCTTCCCAGAGTCTGAAGGTGCATGGCACACCATTTCAGCTACCTTATGTCATAATGCTAATCCTAATTCCTATGGGCATCTTTTGTCACCATCTGCTTTGAGTACCTAGCATAGTACTAAATACAGACAATGCAAAAATTCAGTAACTACTTGCTCATTTGGCTTTCTGGCTTAACAAATCCATTTGCACTGGTTGTGGTTGAGAATCTTCTTCAGGCTTGATGCACTTTTTGGCAACTAGGAAAACAGGTCTTCCAGGAGTATGTAGGTCTGTTCCTTCACAAGCCACACAGTAAAATAACTCCAGTCCTATAGAGTCCAGGGTCTTTCCATTTTGTCAAATGTAAATAAGCCCAAATGGGATTGGTGCTCCCTTCATCTTGAGGCAAAAATAGCTTTTTCCCATCCTCACTATGGCTTGCACTTCATTATGTGACTTTCTATTTTAAGTATGAATGCTTTAACTCTGGTGTCACCTTAGACGTAAAGTAGTTCTTATATTTACAAGTGTGGCCAGAGGTCATGACCACAAAATTTAACAAAATGCTTGCTGACTCCAAACTGCCTATATTTCTACTTTTTTTTTTTTTTAAAGATTTTATTTATTTATTTGAGAGAGAGAGAATGAGAGAGAGCAAGCACATGAGAGGGGGGAGGGTCAGAGGGAGAAGCAGACTCCCTGCCGAGCAGGGAGCCCGATGCGGGACTCGATCCAGGGACTCCAGGATCATGACCTGAGCCGAAGGCAGTCGCTTAACCAACTGAGCCACCCAGGCGCCCTATATTTCTACTCTTAAAGAGTCAGAATGAGTCATCAATTGACCATAAGGTCAAGTGGCCAAACAAGTATTATACATTATAACCAGCTAACTACTTTCTGTCTTTCATCCAAAATCAGTAGGTGGTGCGCTTATCATCCTTAAAGGTATTTATGGAGAGGCTACTGGCCATCTGTTAGGGGATGCTAAAAGCAGTAAACCAATCTGACAAGGGTGGGGCTAGATTAACATCCCTTCCAAATTGAAGATTCTAGAAAGTTAAATTTGTCCGAAAGCACAGGACAGCATTCAGTTTCTCTCAGGCCACCACTGCCTGTGTAATTCTGTAGTTCCCCCAGCACCCTTCAACATTACCTGCATATGGGCCCCTGAGTTACTTACTGGTCACCTCATCACATTAAGACAGGTTATCACGAAGAGACAGAGCTCAGACAGTTACATAACTTATGTAAAATACAAGAGTCATAATGGATTACTGAGAAAATAGTGTATTCATTATCAAGGGCTATACAAAATTGTGTGATGTTACACAGAGCTTCTGAATTCCCAAAGCCCTGTGGTCCCTATGTTCAGGTTAATGAGGAAGAGACTGGACTATAAAAAATCAGTTCCTAGTACAAATTTGCACTGAGATTTTGGAGCACATCCAATTTCCATAGCGACTGCATAAAGTACGCCAGCATAGTAGAAATCAATAGATCTGAAATTAGGACAGCAAGCATCCTCAGTGTAAGTAAAAAACTGGTGGTCACAGTATCCGTGCTTTTTCTTCTCCACAGGTTCAGAATGAAAGAAGTCTCATATTCTCAGACCCCTCATTCTTTAAAGGTCTCCTGTTACCAGGTCACGTCTTCCAAAGCCTTACTATAGGATCTTGTTTTCTGGATTTATTTTTCCAGTCGCGGAAAGAATTTATTTGTAATTTCCTGCAGTTGACAGTGATTTTAAGTGCTTGCCCAGAAACGTCACAGGAACGGATTATGTTTTCTACAGGATCCATCCAAGGTCTTCCTCGTTAGTATAGTGGTGAGTATCCCCGCCTGTCTACAGGATCCATCCAGAGCTCCTGAATTCAAGGTTAGTGAGAAGGAAAATAAAAGAAAGGAGTTCGGGGACTTTCATGAGCAGGGGGAAGAGAAAAGAGCGGTGCCTGTGCTCCAAGGGTGATCGCGACTCCTGCCTCTGAGGGGAAGGACAGCCCCACAGGAGCCAGAGCCCCGCTCCAAGTAGCCGTAAGGACAGGTCCTCCAGCCCTCGGCCACGAAGCTCCAGCGCTGGAGGCTGCCCAGTACCCGACAACCGCCGGGCACCCCAACTCCGGACCTCAACGACAGCCGCCGTCGGTTCTGAGGCCAGCCAGAGGCACCCGGCCGCTTTCCCACCCCCTACCCGAACTCACAGCCGGTCTCCTTCTTGATCTCCTCGAGCTCTTCGTCCCGCAGTAACGTGGAAGCCCGAGACCCCATCACCGAACCGGGAGCTCCTTCGGGAGCAGGGGCGTCTGAAGCGACGGCGGCGGCGGGAGGGAAAGGAAAAAGGCCCAGGGGTCAAGATGCGAGAGAGCAGTGCTTCTACTGCGGACCCGGGAGGGAACCCAGGGGTGGCAAGAGGGGGAGGGCGGTCCCCAAGAACCAGCCAATGAGGAGCGAGGCTTTGCCCGGCGCAGGAGCCGACGTCGGCGCTTCCAGCTCCAGCCCCCGAATGAATCAGCCCAGCGCAGGGCCGGGTATTCCTAAGGACGGACCACGCCCCCGGAAGCGTGATGCCACCGGCCTTAAAAAGGCAATGCCACTCTGGCTCTAGCGACCACAATTAAAAGGGAAACGCCATCGACCCACAGTTTTATAACGAACTAACCTGAGGCAGGCAGCATAGCCAACCCGTTTCTCACAGAACTCTAAAAGTGGAAACCCCACCCACAGGTGGCAGGGATTGGGGAGAGAAGCCATAAAAATAGAGCAAATGTCTCTTCGGGCAACTCTAGGGTGTGTCTCTTGGGAACTGCATGCCGGGAGTTCCACCTTCTCCTTTTTTCTGGAGGTCCTCCGTCCTCCTGGCCGCTGGGGGCGCTCGGGAGCCAGCCTCCGGGGCGCGCGCCGATTGGCTCCTCGGGAAACAGCCGGTACCTCTGGTTGCGCCAGGCTGGCGTCCGCTCTTCGGTGTGGGTTTTCAGTGCCGTGTACTTTTCTCCTGTTCTTTCGTCTCTGTCCTTTGATAACCGCCACGCCGGCTTGGAACTACCGGAAAGTTCTTCCTTAACAGCAGTACCTCCTTTTTTAGTTCAGTACTGAGGCTCGAGGAAGTCACCATTTGGCTGAAACTGGGACAGGATTTCCCAAACTTCCTTCGGGAAAAAATAACCTGACGGTGGACGAGATTGAATTCCTAGCGTATGGCCCACCGTTTATTTGGAGTTTCTTATTTTGTCTTAAAAATGAGGAATTTTGCATTTTATTTTTATATTTTTGTTTTCTTGAAAATGTTTAAAACGCCACCCGTTAACTAATTTAGCCCTCTCCGTGAACCAGTTCTTTTCCTGTGGCTTCAATGCCTTTTCACCCCCTCCCCACCCTTCTGAGTGTTGCTTTATGCATAACGGGTTTGAGATAGGGAAGAATCAAATTCTAACAACTGTCATTTTGTGCCTAAACTACTTTTAAGCTTTACCTACGGTTTTGACGACTTAGCATGAGGCCAAGGTTCTAGTCTCACTAAGTTGTTTTCATGATTGACCGGCTCTTGTCTGATCTAGTGTTGTCCCCCTTCAAAGGCACTGACATGGCAGCCGGATTGGTCATGCATAAATTGTGATAGTTCTAAGTCACTTATGCTTTGGTTGGTAACAGTGTCAATTTCTGGAAATGTTACTAATGTAGAAGAGGCCAGAAGAATTTAGATGGTAGATTTTTTTTTTTTTTTTTTTGTTCTCTGTCAGGAACAGCCTGCTCATTTTATTTTTTTATTTTTAAAGATTTTATTTATTTGACAGAGAGATAGAGAGACAGCACAAGTAGGCAGAGTGGCAGGCAGAGGGAGAGGGAGAAGCAGGCTTCCCGCTGAGCGGGGAGCCCGATGCAGGGCTCGATCCCAGGATCCTGGGATCATGACCGGAGCCGAAGGCAGCCGCCTAGCCGACTGAGCCACCCAGGCGCCCCTAGATGGTAGATATTTCTGGGTGAGCAGCTTATGGTAGCAAGTATTGGCAAATATTTTGCCAGCATCAGGTTTTTTTTTTTTTCCACTTGTTATTTTAGAGTTTCTTTCTTTCTTTCTCTCTCTCTCTCTCTTTTTTTTTTGTTGGTTGGTGTTAAAAAGATATATGAATGTGCCATTTAAAGGCCTCTAAAATGTTCTGCTTGTTCCATTTAGCTAAGGTATGAAAGGTAGTATTACCCCATTTTATAGACAAAGAAGTCGAACCTACAGTGCCTGAAGTTTTACGGCTTTCAGTTTCCCATGTATAAATTAGAGTTGATGCTTGCAATAGTCCTTTTCTCATTATTGTTCTGAAAAGATGAGCAAAACTGAATTACTCTCATATTTTTCTTTTTCTTGTCCCTTCCAGGTATGGGGAAAGGGAAAATAACCTCATTCCCCCAAAATATTTTTTAAATCCTAGATCTCTTTTATTTTCAAGTGTTTGGATACTTAAAGAAGATTATTTGAAGACTGCTTTTGGAATCAAATAGCATGGATCCCAGCAGTGACTACCATTTCCTCAATCAGATTTTGTGGAGAAGGGTGAAACTCACGTTGGTTTGTGGCATATTTGAGGGAGTACTCCAGCATGTGGACCCTAACAAGATTGTTGTCCTGAAGAAAGGTCTAATTTTATTTGTCATTATCTTCTACCTTTAAGAAATTAATAGTTAAGTTTGGGTGAGGGCTCTGGGGGCTTCATTAGCAACTGGGAGGGAGACATTCCTATTCTAAGGAAGAGTTAAGAGGAAGATTAGAATACTGTTTTCCCTAACAGAAAACATAGCTGCATCTGCGGGCTTGTCCCCACTTTTATACTTTTATTGACATGATAGTGGAAATTTTCGGTGTATAGATTCTTTCTCATTGGGTGCTTCTTATAATTTCTTACTATATGCATATTGAAATTAAAAATAACCGCTCTACTAGATAGAATTACTTTTGGCTTCAACAGACAGAGTCACAAAGACAGGGGTTAATTTTTGTCATGCAAAAAGAAGTCCAGAGGTAAGCTGCTAAGGAATAGTGCAGTGGCTCAAAGATGCCAGGAGGGACCAGGTGTCTTGTGGTTTTTGCCACTTCAGGGATCATGTATTATCTTCATGGTCACAAGGTAACCTCTACACCTCCCAGCTTCAATTCTGTTCATTGTAAGGGACGCAACTCAGGAACAGCCAAGTGGAAGAGATGCATAGGTCAAGGTCTATGGGAAGGAGCTCAGAGTTTCCATGCCTCTTCTGGGTGTACCACCCTCCTAGTTCCTACATGTGTTCACCTTTAAGATCCAATATATAGTTTTTATTCATCTAGAATATTGACTTGCTAGGGTAGTTGTTTACCTGGCAAAGTTTCAAGTTCACAATTGAAACATGTATAAATGGCATTTGAGAGATTAGTGTTATTGTTAAGCCATATTATAGGTTAAAATAGACCTTTGTGGGCCAGGGTGGGACTACACCAGACTTTTGAAATATTAATTCATTCAGTAATCATTTATTGATAGTTTTGTATCACAGGCACTGTGATAGATACCAGGGATATAGATAAGAATAACATGGTCCCTGTCCTTAAAAAAACTTAGTCTGGTAAAGAGACAGATAAGCAAGTAGAAAGGTATAATGCAGTGTGATATCCTCTCTGATAGAGAGATGCACAAGATGCTATGGAAACACAAAATTTCAGTTAATTTAGATCTGGGAGTGGTAGGGTTAGGATAGTGGGGAAGGTGTCCCAAAGGTGAGTAAGATTTAACTGGATGGAAAAAGAGTAGAAAGTGTTTTTTTTTTTTT